CAAGTCGGAGACTACGCTAAGATCTCAGCTAGTACGACCAAAAGACGCTGTCGATCCGGCTAAACAAGATGGCGTAGTTTACAGGAATCCCTGTGAATGTGGCAAGGTGTACATCGGAGAGACTGGAAGACCCATGCCCGAGCACGATCGAGACATCCGACTCGCCCGTACCGAGACCTCCGCCGTTTCAGAGCATGCCCACAACACCGGACACAAGCCACTCTGGAACGAAGTAAAGTTTATTGATCGTGACCCTTATTACTACACGCGCAGGATCAAAGAGGCAACTCATATAAGGCTTCACACTGACAACATCAACAGGGATAGTGGAATAGAAATTCCAATAGCGTGGATGTCCACGATCAAAAAACACAACAACAGGAGAGCCGTGCGACAGCGGACCGCCAAAGGAGCAAATCACTGAGTTAAACAGTTAAGATCGAAATGCGCCAATCAGAGCTGTTGAAAAACAACTAATCACAGCAGAGCATCATGCTTTATAAGATCACGCATGACCAGTTGACCTCATTGCCTGAAGAAGACTAGCATTATGCAATCGAAACGTCATGATCTACTAACGCGCGGCTTGTACAAAAAATCATTGAAAATAAAACGATTAATGGCGAAGTTAATGCGAATATTAGCAGTGTAGAGAGTTTCGTATGTGTGATCTTATGACTGTGCACAAAATTTACTATTTTATTTATTTTGAAGATGGGGTTGTTAGTTTAATCACTAACGGAGAAATATTATCCAAAAAGGATCGTTAACGTTTCCAGGATGGAGTTCTGTGCGTCTTAATAGGGACATTAAGCAAACCACGACGGCGACGGCAGCGAGGACATGGAAAAACAGAATATCTAATAGGCAGAACAATAGCTCAGCGCGTACGTTTGGAAACTTTGTACACTTCTTAGCCGTCCTATGCAAAACAACAACGTGAAATCAACACAATTTGCGTCGTCTGCGAACCGAAACCGCGACGGCAAATTATTTTAATTTCCATTTAGAACTCAACGCTTCTTTAATACGTCATGCTGAAGTTGAAGTGTGGCGCCGTATGAGACGGTAAACACATGCAGCCATTTTTGAAATTCTAATTAAAGGTAGAAATTTATTTTTTAATCGAAGTCTTCCTTGGCGTTGCCGTCCTGACTGCTTAAGGTCCCTATTACTGTGTTATGAATAAATCCTTCACCAAGTATGTTAAACTATAACGGGGGAGGGAGGGGAAACTAGCTATCGAGCACACCACGCCCGGCGTAAGGCATCAAGACTCTCAAACTGTCTTTTTCTACTTTTCTTTAATCACTCGGTTCTCCATTACACAATTCCACTTACATCCAAGCTTATTTCATTCTGTGTAACCGTGATTAATCTCTGAGGCTCTCACACTTTGTATTTCACACGTGTATTTTGTTAGTGTGCTTGTTAAGGAAGCGGACGCGACTCGTGCTGGTCCTTCGTCATGGTCAGTGATTTCGTTTGACAATAATCGTTTGATTTGCGCGCTACGGAATGTTTTTGCCATAATCCTTTAACTCAGGAACTTTCCGCACATGTATGACGCTGAATATCATATTCATGCTAACAGGAATGAGTGAGAGTTGCAAATTTTGTGTCAAGAAAATTGTATCGTCCGATTATATATATTATGTTTCTCCCTCATTCATTGGCGTCGCTGTTGTGTTCTAAGAATTAGCATCCAATTGCAACTTCTTTGATGAGCACACCATAAGGACGTATGCCTCCAGATTTTGACAGCCAGTAGTCAGCTCCAGTACCTGTAAATACGGCTGGGATAATCTGGAGGTGATCAGGATCGACACGATTTTGTAGCGCAACTTTGTAAACTTTACCATTATGTTTAAAAGCCTTTGCATAACCCATCCGTTCAATCATTTCAATAATGGGGCTGCTGTAGATGCCGATGCCAAACCTTGCACTCGGGCCGGGCCTTAAACCCTGTTTTATGATGTTGTGAACGAACTCGATATTTGTACCGTGATACGAGACGGGCCATTCTCCTTTAACTGGTGCATTACGTAGACCGTTAGGACCGAGCCAAATGTTGCCGTCCTGGTATCTTCCGAGAACGTTTAAAGCTATTCTGTACCAACCGTACGGTCGTTGATATGGATAGTTATAGTTCCCTCTAAAGCAGTTCCAATAAGGACGTATGACGTTCTGGAAATCAAAATGGAATCGAGGATCAAGCTCTGCTAGATCTAGGTAGTCAACTACGATATTTTGGATGGGATTCTGAACAATTATTCCATTGTGAGCTGAACTCGTGATAGCGCGGAAAGGCGATGGTGACGGTGGCTGCCATAAGGGAACCGTGCTCAGGTGAGTTTGACTGAAAAGTTGATGAATAGAATTTGAACGAAGCCCTCTACCAAAAACCGCTGTGAATGCGGCGGATACCAAATCTTGATAAAACATGATCCTAGTAAAATCTATTTTTGTGATCAAAGCTGCAACTGAATGAAATAAAGCTTCGGATGGCCGGATGACGTCAACTACTTCTAATTCCTGTTTTTCGTGGAAAAAAATGCATAGTAATATTGTTATGATCCCCGCTTATTGGCAGTTACTTAGCAGTTAATTTTGGTTCGCAGACAACATATAGAATGGCTGGACAAGCAAACGTTGTATTGCTATTAATCACGTAAGTCTGCAACACACACAGTTTTATTGACAGCTTACCGAATGATAACAACAACCGCCGGTTGTGAACTTTATTTAAAGAGACATTCTTAACAGTTCCGGATATTCTAGAATATTCTGTGATGATTACATCATATTTTGTGTATTAAACAATATCAGCAGTACTAAACATGAGTAGGTAAATAGTGGAACGTTCTGGAATATTTTCTATAACATTACAAAAATATTATCCAAAGCTAATGTTGGATAAAAACATCATTGACATCAACCATGGAAACCCAAATAAATGTGATTTCAGGGGTTTAACAAGCATGCTCTTCCAGCATATTTTGAACGAAAATGAGTTCGACTACAAACCAAATTGTCTTTCAGGCTATCATGCATAAGAAAAGCATACACACGCTTAAATTTAGAAAATCTTATCCTTAAGAATTCGGGTAATTGTCTTGTCAGACAGGACTTTCACATTTATTTGACATTAATTTACCTTCAATGAAAACTTTAAAAGTTATTTTAAGAATGCTGTATAGTTGAGAATTCCCAGGAATTCCTAGGAATTCTAAGTCCTCGCAAAACTGAAGAGGATTCTTCCTTCTCCATTCTTTCTTTACCAGTAATTCCAAGCTTTTCAAATCAGAGCTTATTTGCATAGTTGGGAATTCCTATCAAGTGCCACGGTGCTTTTTCATGTAAATAATTTCAGAACCTTGAGCAGGACATTTGAATAGGATCATGGAACAGATAAAAACTGTTTGCCAGTACCGGTCA